TTATTGTGAGGATAGAATAGAGGAGAGGAGACTGAGGTTAGCAGCTTTTGTTCATCACTCAGGAGAAAGGCATGGTGTAAATGAAGTAAATAAATAACATAAAAGTTTCTTCATACAGAGTCCTTTCCCTGTGCTGAATGTTTTCTTTGAAATATGTGTGGAATGATGATGTCACAGTCTCACCACCCATTCCCCAGTCACTGTAAAAGACATGATGCAATGATGGATTTTAAGACTGTAGTTCATTAGTCTTTCAAGAATGCAAATGCCTCAGATATGTCTTTTGAACCCTAGTGAACTTATGAAATGGAACCTCCAAAATTCAGCATTTCTTTCAAAGTCTGGATAGACAAAAGATGGTAGGCCTCTATCATTAACACAGTGTGTAGTAGTCCAAGCACTAGAATGCTAGTATTCATTGATTCATTATATTTTATCCCATCTTTTTCCAACACAGAAGTTAAATTTGCATACAGAGTTCCCAGTCTGCTCTCCTGGCATTGACCAGATCCAGTCTCAGACTGTAAGCCTGCTGTATCCTGTACTTTCATACCCCGGTGCTGTACAGAACTGGCATAATGAGATTTCCATTACAAAAAAATATTTATTTTATCTGGTATAAAAGGGCTGTGTACAAACTGTGACAAAAACCTTGATTCTGAACCAAAAAGTTTTGCCATCTGAATATACTGAGATGAATCTTAAGGATGCACAAGTGGAAGGCATATCCACAACAATGTCTTTTGCAGCATCCCCTTTCTGCAGCTGTCCACTGCATTCCCTGAAAACTGCTTCATGAATGAAGTACCATGTGCCATGGAGGGAGAGAGGGCTGCAGTTAGAGGGGGGAACTGGGTAAAATTGCCTCCCTTGCTGTTGTGCAAGAACAACAAGCTTGGAGCTGAGTTTACTATGCTTGTGCAAGAGCTAGGGGGAGGCATTCCCCCCCAGTCCTCCTGTGTGAGATCCCCTCATCTGCAATTTGTTAATGTGGGTCTCCCAACCCTCAACAACAGGTTTTCAGTGGGCAATGGGGATGGGTAAAGGAGAAGACAGAGAAGATCTTCATGAACTCCTTCCACTAGCACATTCAGTAAAGTATTGAAAATATGCATTTATTTACATAATTTACTCTGCTCCTTCTTGAGAGAGCTCTCTCAGCCCCACCTACCTCACAGGCTGTCTGTTGAGGGGCAGGGAAAGGGAAAGGGATTGAAAGCCGCTCTGAGTAGTGAAGGGTGGGGTATAAATCCAATGTCTTCTTTTTTCTAACTCAAGAAGATATGACAAGCAAGGAACCCTAAGTTATTTTATTTACGGTTCAGCTTCACACTTGATCTCAATGTGAACCACCTAGATGTTTTGAAGTCTATCTTAATCATTGAGAAAGTTATTCAAGCAAACAAGCAAGCCAAAAAATTAATTTAGAGTAAGGTCAATTAAAATAAGTGGAACTTACTTCTTAGTGAATGTGCATAGGGTCAGACTATTGAGAAACAGAACTATGCCATATCTAATTTCTGCTTAAGGCAATAGCTGTATGAGCAGTACTAGACATAGAGAGAAACTATGCTGTATGATGACAGATAAACAGCATATACTCAGTTCTAAACAATAGTTGACATTTATGTAGTTCAGAAGAAAGTGGGGGGAGGGCACAGACTGCACAATTCTTGAAGTTTTTTTGCCTTGTAGATGAAATGCCTTTTGTCCCTGAGATGGCTAGCATTGCACTACAAATCCCCTCCAGAGAACTACAAGAGTGATTTTAGGAGCAACGGCAAGCATGGATCCTTAGATTATGTGATCACTTGGGTATTCCTTGAAAGGGTCATGATAAAGTACTAGTTAGGTCTGGCAAGATACATTCAACAGCACTTAAGAAGTGAGAATGCAATCAATTTAGATACCATTTCATACACTGTTTTTGGAACTGAAGGGAGTGAACCGGTCAGATGGTACCAGATGAGCTCACATGTAAAGTGATAGCGAAGCTTCAAGATCTTTACTTACTGGATTAAAGGATACAGGCAGTACCCTGTGCAGTAGTCTTTTGGCTCACAACTCTTCCGTCAGATACTCCTTCCTTTTCTAGCATTCACACAAAATGTACAGAGATATGTAAAAAAAAAGTTTGAGTCCACTGGCACCTTTAAGTCCAACAAAGTTTTATTCAAGGTATGAATTTTCATGTACATTCACACTTCCTCAGATGCTGGGACCTGGACTCACTGCAGGTCCCCTGCAGGAAGTAGGAAGGGCAGAGAGGGAGAAGGTGACCTGCAGTGGCAATTATTGCTGGAGCAGAGAGGGTGGGCCAGCAATACAATGAAATGGAATTTACCAGTCCATACATATAAGGCCTAGGTTGAACTGCAAATTAGCATACAACATAATGAAGATTTTTTAACAAATGCAAACAGGAATAACAAGCTAAATTTATAAGGTCATCAATGGTCCCGGTCACCCGGGCAGGAAAATGGGGGGGGGAAACGTGGCTGTTAACCACAGGGCTAAAAACTGCATGGTTGCTTGAGCAGACCTACCGATGGAGATCCCGTGGAGGTCCTGTGGTGGGGGTAGGTGCCGATCACTCCACAGTCCTGCGGCGTGGCAAAGAAATGGGGCGCGAGGCAAACGGGGTTGGTTTTTTTAAAAAAACTCAAATGTGTGCATGCTGCCTTGGGTGCTTTTGCGTATCCGTGGAGACTTTGGGGGGAAAAAAACCTTTTTCCGAGGGGACATGGGCGGGCGCCGGAATTACCATCGGAAATGCGATCAGATGCCTGCCCTTGCCCTGCAGTTTCAGGAAACTAGTACCTCCGAGGTACTAGTTTTTTACTGCACATCTTCTGCGGGAAGCCTCAGGCTCATCACGGGAGCTCGACGCTTCCCAGATGTGGCAGTGAGATCACGCCCGGAAAATCCACCTATCTTCCATCCCTTTAGCGTGCCTAATGCTCCGTGTGACCGCAACCATTGTTTGGATTTCATAATCTGGATTTAATTTGGATATGTAACAGACACTAAAGCAGAGAAAATGAGGATCCCCTTGTTCTGTCAAGCTAATGCCATGATTTCTATTCTAGTCCTCGTGTTATATAAGGGCATTTTAAAATTTCTCATGGATATTGTTACTATGCCTTGGGATAACAGAAGAGCCACTGTGTTAAAAAAAAAAAAGATGTATTGCCAGGTGGGTCTGTGATGGACTAAGTAAAACCGGTCTGAGTGTCGGCATTGGGAGAGGCTCTCTCTGATTGGTGAGCCACTTCCATGACAACGGAATGCATCCAGGAGGGAAGAAGAGGAGTCGGGAGAGAGACAGTTGGAAGGGAGAGAGACAATTGGAAGAGCTCAGTTCTGGGAGAGAGTTATTGGCTGATTTCGCACTAGAGCTGCCTCGATGTTGCGTCGTCATTTGCCCCGATACTATTGGTCAATTTCACACTTGAAGCTGCGGGGCTGCATTTTGCTTCGCCCGATTTCCACCGCAGTTTCGTGATCCTGTTTTTTGAGGATCACAAAACTGTGGAGGAAATTGGGCGAAGCCGTGGGTCAAATGCAGCCCCGTAGCTTCGGGTGTGAAATTGACCAATAGTATTGGGGCAAACAGCGGCGCAACATCGAGGCAGCTCTAGTGCGAAATCAGCCATTGAGAAGGGGCTTTTGGGTGGCTTCCTTCTGAGGGAAACCTCTCAGCCCGTGGCACAGTGACAGGGTGTCACAGAGTAGAGGGACAGATAAGACTCTGTGGAGAGGTTTTGCCAGAGTCAAAAGGGCAGACCTCTGTTTAAAAGAGAAACACCAACACACACACAGGGAAGGACTGGAGTTCTAGTATCCAGGGGAAAGTCTTAGGGACAGACAGATCTCCAGCACAACTGGGGAGCCTTGAGTTATACATTACATAGTATATGATATGTAACATTACAACTGCCTGCCTATTGTAAGGAAATATCTTATAGGGTTTATTGGCTTTATTATCCCTGCCTGACTTTTAAGAAGCCTGCAACAATGTTATTACTGTTCATATTGGGAACTGGCTGGTTGCCAACTGTTTAGACCATATAAAACCTCTGAAAACCATTTTCCCATTTCCCTACCTTTTTTTTTTTAAGAATAAATCTTACTTCTTATTTTATTTAAAACCACACTATCGGTGCCATTCTTTTATATCTGACAGGAAAAGTTTGGGCTCCTGAGGTAAAAGGTAAGGGGATGACAGAAGAATGAGGAGGATACTTCACAGGGTCACAGTCTCATTCTCTGGTAGTTTTATAACAATTACAGCACAACAGAGGCCTCCGTTTGGCTGGGCCCCTATTCTTATAGCAGGTTTAGCATAATAGTTGATCCAGTTTGGCTGATGTACAAAATATTGTATTGTATACAATTTAATAATACATTCAGAAGTGTTAAAGTATCATTTAAAAACAACAATCCTGTGGTTCAGCATATAAATACCTAATCCCCATGTAAAGACAAATTTCCATTTATAGAAATACAGGTTTAAAAGTACGTATTTCTCCATATACAAGAACTAATACCGAACACATTTCGACACTGTGCGCATAGTTATATTTTACTTTCCCCCCTTTGTTCCAACCTTTCTGGTTACTTTTCTCATGCAGGGTTGTGCCCCCCCCCCTTTATGGTTCTACTGATCCAGTTTGGCTGCCAGGAGTAATGGCAGAAGAAGAGTGCAATTTATCCTGTTGTCTGTTTTGACAAGCTTGCTACTTCCCACTCACTACCCTCACCATATATCATGCCTTGACAAACCGTTCTAAAAACAGACAATCAAGCATTATAAAGTGCTATCAAAGAAGATCTATATGGAAATCAAACTCCCTTTTGATTTCTAATGGAATCATGCTGGTGACACTTTCCCTCGGTTCATTTTCAGAGACCTGACAGTTAAAACACATGTTTATGTGAAGAGGGGAGAGAAAACAATTATTTAAAAATTGTTCCAAGAAATATTGAAGCTCTTGTACCTTCTCTTGTCCAGCCTTGGTTATTCTGGGGATGTCAAACAGCTGCCCTGTGTAGTACTGCACACCACTGAACAGAATTACAGCAACAGAGTCTCCTTCCTTCTCAATTACAGCAAGGATATCTTCAATTCTCAAGGTCTCCTCCCCCTGAAATAAAGTAAAGCGCACATTTTATACCAACCCAGGCAATAACGAAACTGTCATTTCTTGTCTCATAATCTATTTTTTATGATGTGCTGTGCTGACTACAGTGAGTGATCAGAAGTGAATCCTTAACATGGCAGTAATCTACAAAAGTAAGAGCCCTGGTAACCTTTGAATGGTGAATAATCATTAGTAGCATAGCTTCAAGGTGGCAGAGACTTTTTGAAAGGCTGTTCTCTTTGATTCTTTACATCCTTTCCTTTGCCTCAACACTGAAAGACCACCTTAATGAGCTGTATTAAAAGGAATTAATTCCAATGCAAAGAGCATCTATAGAGGCAGGGAATCCTTGGTCTGCTGTGAGCCTCCCATGAGAATTTTGTCACAGATTAGTACTGCTGATGACACCAATTGCAAATTCAATCTGTCAGTCTAAAATTGTTCATTTGGAAGTGAAATATTCAGATATTGCTACCATATGAGTACATAGTGGTTGTCTGGATTTATCCGTATCTGAAGGACTGACTCTCTCTCTCTCTCTCTCTCCCCCCCCATCTCTGAACCCACAGTCTCTCTCAAGTCCTCTTATGTGCTATTGATTATTATGCTGTCTATATATCTATATCTATGCATTGATCTATATCTATCTATATATGCATGTGATGCTGTTGACTGTTTTCATTATTTGAGTTATGATATTGTATTTTATTGTGGTTCATACGTAAGCCAATTTGAATGTATGGAGGAAGCACGGTATGCATTATTAAATAAGCAAACACATTAAAATATGTAATTGTTTTATTGATGTTTAAAGGCTGTCAAACAAGGATGTATTTTATCTCCCTGTCTCTTGAATCTATATGCAGAACATGTCATGAGGAAAGCTGCATTAGATTTAGATGAATGTGAGGTGAAAATCAGTGGAAAGAACATTAAACATTTGAAATATGCAGATGACACCATATTACTGGCAGAAAATAATGAAAACGGACTATCTACTGATGATGGTTAAAGCAGAAAGTGCCACAGCAGGATTACAGCTGAATATCAAGAAGACAAAAGTAATGTCTACTGGGGAATTACAGGATTTTAAGGCTGACAGCGAAGAAATTGAAATTGCTCAAGGTTTTCTGTTCCTTGGCTCCATCATCAACCGAAAGGAAGACTGCAACCAAGAAATCAGAAGGAGATTGAGACTGGGAAGGGAAGCCATGAAGGAGTTAGGAAAGATCCTTAAGTGTAAGGATGTGTCGCTGGTGATCAAGGTAATTCATACCATAGTATTCCTTATTACTAGTTTGGGTGTGAAGTTGGACAATAAAGAAAGCTGACGAGAAGATGATTCAGTTGAAATGTGGTGTTGGAAGAGAGCTTTACAGATACTGTAGATGACTATGATAAATGTTTGCAGGTATGGTTTTATATTGCTGGCTATGCGCTGTAATAATAAATTCATACTATAGATGACCCAAAAGGCTAATAAGTGGATTCTAGATCAAATCAAGCCTGAACTATCCCTAGAAGCTAAAATGATCAAACCGAGGCTATCATACTTTGGTTCACACTATGAGAAGAGAAAATCACTGGAAAAGACAATACTGCCAGGAAAAGCTGAAGGTAGCAGAAAAAGAGGAAGACCCAACATGAGATGGATTGATTCAGTCAAGGAAGCCATGAGGGCCCTCAGTTTGCAAGACCTGAACAAGGCTGTTAACAATGGGATGTTCTGGGTGTCACTCATTCATAGGGTTGCTATAAGTCACAAGTGATTTGATGGCACTTAACATACACACAGTTTTGTTACATTGTTGCCTTAGTAGTTTGATATTGTGAGCTACCCCAAATATCTTTATATTAAGATATCTCTTTACTACTTTGTGACAGGTTGGGGTGGCAGGAGCAGATACCAGAATATTTTTGGCGAGAAAACTCCCACTCAGCCCAGTGTAACTGTCCTCACAATGACAGTACTGTATTGCTTTGGGGATTATTTAAAGATTACTACGCACTTCTCACCACCCTGTCACACTACCAAACATAGCTGTGAAAGCGGCCAAAGAAATGTTTATTTACTGGCCTGATAGTGCTTTGTGCTATGTACAATGAGCCAGCCCAGAGGTGCTTCAAGACAGAGCATCTGGAGTACTCTATCCTACCTTGGTACAACCCTGGTTTTGTGTGACCTGGATACCAAAAAAGAACAGAGATTTAACACAAGAAAAAGGTTTATATTACAATTAAGAGAAAGTATATTCAGAACCAAATTTATACAAATGTTACTTATTGAGGGATAGTGATACAGTTTCTTGATAGAATGTGTGCATAATCTAAGTAATCACCCAAGATAGTCCCAATGCATCCCATTGTTTCATTTGGTCTTTGGTATTCTTTGAGATCTCTTGAAAATTGCAGGGTATTAAATCTTTTAGATCTGAAGGAATTTGAATTCCCAGACATCTCCATTTGGAGTAAGTCCATTTGTACTTAAAATGCGATTGAATTCTTTGTTTCGTTGGTGAGTTTATTTTGATTGGGATGATTTGTGATTTTTCCAGATTTACCTTCAAACCAGTAAGAGGTTGTATATTCCCGAATAGTTTCTGCAGTTCCAATAATGATGTTTCAGGTTTTGTTAGGAAAACCACCAAGTCATCTGCATATAGACTAACCTTATGTGAGTTTTGTCCATAACAGTGCAGTCCTAATGAAGTGTTCCTCCAACCAATAAAAGCAATGGTCTTGGAATGGAGTAACTTTGCATAGAATAACACTGTACATTTAATGGTGAAGAGTCTATGAGAAACCCATGGCTTAAATGTCACCTCACTTGTGAAATCATGCACAGTCTTCAGTCACTAAACCCCAGTCGTCACTAATCTTTAACATGGGGATAATAAAGATCTACTTTATAAGGCTGGTGCCATGGTTTACTACTATCTGGGGCTGTCTGTGCTGCTGTTTGTCAGGGAAGTCATATCCCTGTGGCCGCACAACCTGGTGCTGTGCATCTTGCCTATCCTCGATAGGTTTAGGAAGTTGGGTAAGCCCAAACTGCATAGGAGCAGTTGGATACTCTATGCATAGTAGAATTTTACTGATCTGAAATATCTGGCTGGAATATATGTAATAGAGGGATTCTCCTGTATTATTGCTGTGCTACATTTTTTTGTTTTGCTTTTTGTTTATAAGCTGCTTTAGTCCTGATTTGCAGGAGAAAAGCAGGTATAATGGTTAAGAGTGTTGGACTAGTATCTGGGAAACCTGGGTTCAAACTCCTTGTAGCTCGAGCCATTAATGACGGAATTGACTGGTTTGGTATTTTAGTAATTAAGGTTGTAAGGATTCTGTGTTGTAGATTCTGTGTTGTTCTATCTTGGTTTATTTTGCTGGTCTTATGACTGTTCTTAATACATTTGATTTGGGTTCAAACCCCCACTCATGCCATGAAAGCTCGCTGGGTGACCTTAGGCCAGTCACACTCTCTTGGCCTAATCTATCTCACAGGGTTGTTGTGAGGATAAAATGGAGGAGAGGAGAATAGCGGCTTTGGGTCCCCACTGGGGAGAAGGACAGGGTGCCAATTAATTAAATAAACAAATAGAAATAAGTGAATGATTTCTGAGAATTTCTGTGCAGTACTTTGAACACTTTAAAAGTGCCTTGGAAATAACAAATATAGTTGCTACTGTTGTTGTTGTTGTTGAGAAAGCTCATTTTGATTTCTCAGGTCAAACTGAGGAATGTCCAGTTTCAGGATGTTGGAAAACATGTTGCAGATTGTCTTAAAGGATGCCAATGAGAGTGTATCTTCTGGCATTCAACCATATGGAGATCTAAGTATGTTGCTCTTAAGCACACAGATAGTTTGCCATCCCTCACATACACTTAAACATTAAAAAAAATGCCATAGTAAACCAGTTTAGTGATATTTTTATATGGCATTTTGAATTTGTGAAACTCATAAGAGTTAAAAGTTATCTGTTCATACTCTTCAGGCAAACTCCATATCCCTGAGAAAGCTATTAAAATTTTTACTGCATCTGTATTGTGAAAACAATGGGATTCATAGAATCTGAAAGTACAGAAATCCTGTAGTCATTAAATGTAGAGAAATTTTAACAAGGAAAACCCCCCACTTCTGATCCTTTAAAGACATTATTACCTCCACTCTTCCTTACCTCATTTTAGCAAAGGATCATGTAAAACACTCAACCACCAAGGGATCAATTAAGCTGTGGAAACTCAAAATGAAATTAGTCATGCTGCTGCAAAGAGATGGGATAAGGTTTGCTGATCTGAAAGTAACTTCTGTTACCTTAATGATCTCTGAATACCCATCAAAGACTTTGGAGTAGGTTCTTATTTCCTGATTTTTTTAAGAACAAAAGGTCATCAACAGTTCTACTGAGAAGTTAAAAAAAAAAAACTTCTTCATGTCAAGCAAGAAAGGAAGGTAATGCAAACTTATAATGATGTAAATGGCATCGTCCTCCAGGAAGACACTTAACTGTTGCTGTGGTAATAAAAGAAACAACACATTGCCTTTATAGAATTTTTGAGAAAGTTTTATATAGAACAAATACATACTGATGTTTATGAATATATGCTTAGCAGAAGTGTACTTTAAGGAATATATAGACAGCAGCGAACGTTCCCCTGTGTATGTATATATGCATGTATTCTTTCCTTTAAATGATTCAGTTTTTATATTGCATTGGAAACGCGGGGCGTGCAACAATATTTACAAAGCATGTTTTTTAAAAAAAGTGTACAAAATTACAGTTAAACTCAGTGTTTTAAAATATGAACAAATTAATAAAAGGGAAAGTTAATGATAAAGTACTATATAGAAAACCAGACAGACATGAATTTGGGGGGGGGGGGACTGAGACCAGGCGGTTATCTGCCCATCCTCTTTTTACAGCTACCTCTTGCCCAAGAGATTCTTAACATCTAACAGGGTGGTCGTTAGGAGGCTGAAGTTGGTTCCTTATT